GGGGGGGGGGGGGGGGAGTCCTAGAAAAAAACTGGGGGGACGTACTACTGATCAGCTGTGGACCAGGGAGGGAGTACTGATCGGCTGAGCTGTTCTAGGTATTTTGGTGACTTGCTGCTTGGCTCTACCCTACCAAGTTAGCAAGTGGCGTTTGCCGCGGGGCGGTAGCCACCCGTGGGCGACCGTCTTGTGCCGGCTCAACTCAGGACCTATCAGATCAGCAGCCTTCGCGGGGACACGCTTGGTTTTTTTAGTAGGGTTGAGGATAAGGATAGGGGTGCAAACCCCCCATCTCTATTTCATGGACATCAGTAACAACACAATGCTCTCGAAGGCAATCTCATCAGATACGCAGCATATCCCCCGTAGTCTCATGCACATGTTTCGTTTGTTACACCACATAGATAATAACAATCTGCCGATCCCCGATCGTTGTCGGTCGTGCACCCCACGTGTTTTCACAATATTCAAGAGTGCCCTCCAGGACGGACTCATGAAAGCACAGCATTGTCGTCAAGGGGTCATGGGTGCAATATCGGAAAGAAAGCTCGCCAAGCTGACTGCCAGTCGCGAACACTTCCCGAGCTCGAACACCACACACCAAGCTGACGTGCTTAGACGCCAAGAGCACTGTGAACCACGCCAAACCTAAAAGGAAAAACAAACCCTTGTTGTTCAGTCTGATGTGGTGGTAGTATGGGATCGGGAGAAGGAGTCGTGGGTTGCTGCTAGGTTTTGACGAGGACCGCCCGGGCACCCCCGCTGGCTCTGGTATTGAGACAGGTAGCACTTCAGTTTGCGTGCTCCTTCCGATGTTTACCCAAACCCTTGCAATCCACTCTGCCCCACCTTCCACCATGGTCTTGTTTTTTTTGTGCTCGACAATCCCAGAGATGTTCAACCGGAGGGGGATGCTCGACTATCGTGGATCGAGGCGTACCTGGATCGAAACCCCAAGACCGCCATCCTCGATCCGATTGACAGAGTTTCAAACTGCATCAATCGGGTCACTACCCTCAAGGTATGTCATTTTGTTTTTGACCGGGGTTTGGATGACGATGCCCTGGAGGCGTTCTGGGGGGGGGCGACTGCGGGGGAATCGGACACATTACTGAGTGATGCATGCTTGCACACACAGCCAGAGACAGAGTCTGGATAGTGAAGTTCTCGGCGACCTATACATTATGCTCATTTCGGAATGACGGTATAAAGGGAAGCACAGTGGTTTTTGAACCTAGTGCGTTGGCCCTGGCTGTCTTGTGGTAGGGTCACTCACAAAGAACAGTCGCAAAAAGTGGACCGCAGCATTTCCAGAGAACGCAAGAAGGCTTCTGCGTCCTCTCCTGACTCATGCGCCCGATTGAACGAGTGTGCTTTGCATACCGCCCCTATGTTGCACTTGTTGATGCCGTTGTTGCTTTCTCGTTGTTCCTACACGAACGCCGCTCATGCGTTCCCAGTGGTAGTTTCAAGCGCCCACCGGGTCTCTTTTGATAGAATGACAAGAACATTTTCCGTAGCGCCCCCTGGTGTGCCGCCGATCGGGCGACACACGCTAGCAACAACGGCACACACACACGGCTTCCGTCAAGTCCTGCTGTACGTCGTATCACCTAAAGCTTACCAGAATGTTCGCGAGTTCAGCCCCGCGTCAACACTCAATAAAAGCGCCCGACTGTCGGTGTCGTCTCCGTTAGGTGTAGGACAATTGCTACGATTGGAACGATTGGAACGAGATGTCTGGTCAGTGGTTGTTGGCATAGTAGCTGAAGCAACACATGAGTCCCCCACACACACACATACGGCGGAAACTTGAGCTTCCCTCCTGAATGCCTGCGAGGCTCAACCTCGAAAAGGAAGCCGCCTTCCATGGCCAATCGGGCTTACTGGTATGCAAACAATGACACTTCGCCCCCCCCCGCCTTCTTCTACAGCTGACATTGCGCACCCAACCCCCACCCCCTCCTATTTCAGCTTCTCGATGAAGCGTATCGACGGCACGGGACCGCCGGGGGCATGCCCCGTCCTCCCCGCTTCATGGTTCTCGAAGATCACGAGCCTTCAGATCCGGGGGCCGATGGTGGGATCGTTCCCAGGAACGGTCTCGCCTTCCCCGTGATCTGCAAACCCGTCGAGGCTTGCGGTAAGCCAGTCGCCCTCTCGTTTGGGTTTGATTCGATTCGAATACAGTATTTTGTTGTGTAAGCGAAATCGCTCCCCGACAAACAAAGATGGAGTTTTGGAGGAAACGGCTGGTGCTCTGCACATGCGCGTCGGTGTCGACAAAAGTGTTGAGCCACTAGATATATACCAGTCAAATCAGCCGCTCACTGACCGCTCAGCGACGAAGTGCTGGCTGTGCATGTAACGCCTGCCGTGTTTGATCACCTCAATACAGCAGGCAGGCCGGTAGGTATCGGCGCACGGCATCGCTTCTTCGGCCGGGTCGTAGATCTGCGTTCACGATCAATTTGCGGAGCCCCTTCTTTGAATGGATACCCTTTGCTTGGTCGCATACACGTCGCCCCGTCTCGAGGCGTTTGTGAAGCCATGTCTCTTGATAGTGTCCAGGAGAGTTGAGCTGCAGGAGACTTTCCGCAGTACGACCGTTTTCTCTGGCTTTCGGTTCGAGAGCGAATGCGAGAGTCGACGTCTCTTACCATTGCTGTGGTGGGATACGCCTGCTCTTTGGTCGTCTTGCGTGACCCCTTGATGATGCTGTGCCCTCATGAGCCCACTCCGGAGGAATCACTCTGTTGACTTTTCACAACGTCAGGGTTAGGGCTAGAGCCGACTCGTTGTCTCGGAACATCTTGCTCATTCCCGCGAACGGTTTCGTCCGGCTCAGCCCCATCGCCCCCCCTCGCCCCCAGCTGCCGAACCGCCGCACCGTCATCTTGACCGACTTGCCTCTCCCGGCGGAAGTGGCATATGATATTAATATGTGCCCGCGTTGTTGTTGTTGTTGTTGTTTTTGCTCGATCCTGCGATGTTTTTTTTTTTTGCAGGTACACGTGGGTCGCACACGATGGTTGTCGTTCTCGACCAAGCCGGCATGACCGCGCTCACGCCCCCGGTCGTGGTGCAAGAGTGTAGAAGCCACGGCGCCAAGCTCTTCAAGGTGAGGCTCGCCGCCAAGATCCCCGCTCGCTCCTACATATGCATGGAAGACCACGTTTGAACTTGGTCGTTTCTTTTGTGAAGGCGGTGTAGTTCTCCTGCGCTTGTTTTTTTTTTCCTTTGTGAAGCTGCAGACGCGTGTGGTCTCAACCAGAGGCCTCGCGCTACATTTTTTCGTTGGAGCAAGATGTGTGTCCAACGAATCTATGTTCTGTCACGAAAATCTTGTTTTGTTTTCGTGGCCGGACCGGCTGGTCCCTGATTCTGCGGACTACACACTGCCCGCACGTTGTCTGCTGCCGTGTTACTGCAAGACACGTATGTCGTGCGTGACGAAGGGAGATGAGAGGCAGGTCTTATGTCTCTGTAGACCCGCATTGGAACAGAGATCGCGGAGCACCAGCAAGACATGAGCCACTAAGAAGTCACGGTTGTAGCTCTGTTTTCTACCACGCGCCGCCTTCGCCGCTGGTACACGAGAGGCCGGTACTTCTCCCACTGGCTCCCCCCCCCC